GAATTGTGCCCTCTTTAAAATTCATATGCTGAAACCTTAAATTCAATGGATCTATATTGGAATTTTAATGATATAATTAAGGTTAAATGTGGTCAGAAGTGTGAGAACCTAATGCAATAGACGTGTTGTATTTATAAGAAGAGAAAGAGACACCAGAGACCTCTGACTTTTTACGTGCACGCAGAGAAGAGGCCATGTGGAGATGCAGTGTATTAGAAGGTGTCCCAGTGCATGCCAGGAAGAAGCTGCACCAAGAACCAACCCTGCCAGCACCTTGATCTTCAACATTCAGACTTCAGAATTGTAAGAAAATCAATATTTGTTGTTTAAGCCACCCACTCCGTGTTGTCTTCTTAGGAAGACCCAGACAGACTAATACCACATATCTCATAACTCTGTTAGTGCTGTCCCCTGGATGGAGAATCAGCCCCTGGGCACATCTCTCAGATTTCTACATAAAGTATGCAAAAAATAGTAGCTATGATGTAAAAACTTGTCATGTCCTTGTTGACCAATTTCTGGGCAAAGTGTTTTAATGAAGCCCCTGGGGCTTTGTCACAAAAGTTGTCTTTTATCTTTTCTTATGACCTAACTGATGGACAATGGGTACCAGCTGGATGGAGACTGACCACTGATCATCTTCTGCTGTCTCCTTAGTATGCCACAGAAAACCACACCAACATCACTCTATGTCTTCAACTTTCTAAAATTGCACTGAATGTGTTGCTAAATGAGGAGCTACATTAGGTCTGAGTTTTGTTCTCTTCTTCCCTGTCATCCTCAGTTACCAAGGGCAGAAGAGACTTTCAATGAAATTTGGCTGTCAATGCCCCCAACACCACATCAATTTTTAAGGTGTAGGAACTTTATTTGGGTGATAGTGAAATACACTTTTAAATGGAAAGCCCTAAAGCACATACAACAGCTGAAGGAATGGCCACTGTGCACCTGAAGGCTGATGAGGCAAATGGTAGGGTACCTTCCTCCAAGATGTTCCTGGGTGTGTGATGGTTGGATGCCTCATGCATATGGAATTAAGGACTGGACTGAAGTAGAAACAAGGGCCATATCCCATAGGAAAACAAGAAAAGAACAGGTGGGGATCCGTGAAGAGGTAATTAAATTTGTTGAGTTTAAGATGAAAATTTTTTCCGAAGTTTTTAATGTTCTTAGCTAAATATGAATCTTTTCCACAAACTGAGAATTAAAAGGAGAATGGAATTAGAAGATGAGAGAGAAAAAACATCCTGAAAGAGCAGAAACAAAATTCACACAAAACTGTCACATGGCAGAGGCCAGAATGGAGCTGATGCAGCTATGTCATTATTCTGCAGACCTAGTTGAAACTCTTTGGTGTTTAAGGCAGGCCCAGTGTTGAAGAACTCGTTTAGCTTTTGCTTCTCTGGGAAAGGTCTTGCCTATCCTTTATTTTACAAAAAGATTTACATGGTAAAGTTTCTTGGTTGGCAGAGTTTTGTTTGTTTTTCAGTTTTTTTTCCCCGAGCAATTTGAATACAGTCATGGGCCACCTAACAATGTTTTAGTCAACAATAGACCACATATATGTTTGTGGCCACATAACATTGTAATACCGTATTTTCACTAAGGATGTTCCATATTTAGATGTGTTTAGATAGAGAGATACTTACCATGGCATTTCAGTTCCCTGCAGTGTTTGGTGCAGTAACATGCTGTATAGGTTACTTGTCTGGAAACATTGCGCTATTCCACATAGTCTATGTGCAGTAGGATATTCCTTGTAGGTTTGTGTAAGTTCTCCCTATGATGCTTGTACTGATGACATTGACTAGAAATACATTTC